AAGAAAGAAAGAAAGAAAGAAAGAAAGAAAGAAAGAAAGAAAGAAAGAAAGAAAGAAAGAAAGAAAGAAAGAAAGAAAGAAAGAGAAGCCAAGCTGTGGTGGCACATGCCTTTAATTCCACCACTCTGGTGGCAGAGACAGGCAGATCTCTGTGAGTTTGAGGCCAGCCTGGTCTACAGAGCTAGTTCTAGGATAGCCAGGATTACAGAGAGAAACCCTATCTCCAAAAAAAAAAAGAAAGAAAGAGAGAGAGAGAGAGAGAGAGAGAGAGAGAGAGAGAGAAAGAAAGAAAGAAAGAAAGAAAGAAAGAAAGAAAGAAAGAAAGAAAGAAAGAAAGAAAGGAAGGAAGGAAGAAAGGAAGAAAAAAAGAGAAGGCAAGCCGGCCAGTGGTGGCTCATGCCTTTAATCCCAGCACTTGGAGGCAGAGGCAGATGTATCTCTGTGAGTTCAAGGCCAGCCTGGTTTACAGAGCAAGATCCAGATCCAGGACAGGCACCAAAGCTACACAGAGAAACCCTGTCTCAAAAAACCACTTGAAGAGCCGTACTTCAGTCCACAGCAGCTATAATGAAATCTCCATATCTATAGTTTGTCCCTGGCAGGCATGACATTTGAACCCTAACCAGAGAACTGACAAGGAATGGTCCTAACCAATAACAGTCATCTCTAACCAACGAGGTTCTATAATCATTACTAGAAAACTCAGTGGGTCAAAGACATGTTCCAGGGAAGATGAAAATAGACTGGTTGGTGTCATCAAAGGGCCTCCTGGGATCAGGAGGACTCAAGAGTGTAGGACTTGGAGTTGTAGGCTGAGGTACATCCACTGCTGTATCTGAAGAGCCTGGACCAGGCTAAGTACCACACAACAAGCAATAAGCATCTTAATTAAATTAATTTAAATCAATGAAATCAATACCAGAAAAGGGCTTGAGAAAGCACAGGTAGAACTGGGGAGAAATATGATGGGAACCACTGAATCTCAGGGAATGTCGGGCCAGCTCTTAAGTTTGCAGCTCTGGGAGCTGGAGAGATGGCTCAAAGTTAAGAGCAGTGGCTGCTCTTCCAGAGGACATGGGGTTAATTTCTAGCATCCACATGGCAGTTCACAACCATCTGTAACTCCAGTTCTAGGGGATCTAATGCCCTCTTCTGGCCTCTGAGGGCACCAGGCATGCACATGGTTCACAGACATTGTATAGGCAAAATATTCATTCATACACATAAAATAAAATCTTTTAAAATTTGAGAGAGAGAGAGAGAGAGAGAGAGAGAGAGAGAGAGAGAGAGAGAGAGAGCAGTAGGATGAATGAAATGCAACCGCCCATGTGGAGGCCAGGGGCTGAAAGCTTGTGGCTCCTGTGTTAGAGGTCAGCGGTTACATGGACACCGAGTGACAACCATAAACTCTGGGATCTGCTTCCTGGGCCTAAACACCCTGTGCGGAACCCCTCACATGAGATAGTCTCAGGTATCTCATTAGCAAGCAGTCTTCCCTAGCATAGAGGGAGATATGGGCCCTGCACCACTGACAGATAGGCCACTATGACCCTTTCACAAGCCAGATGTGGTCCATTAAAATCTTCTGAGGCTGACATGGTAGTGAACACATTTAATCCCAGCATTCAGGAGGCAGAGGCAGGCAAATCCCTGTGAGTGCCAGGCAGTCAGGGCTACATATTGAGACCCTCTCTCAAAGACAAGAAAAAAAAATGAAAATGAAAGTCTTCTGAGCATGTACAGGTCCCAGGGGCCAAGGCCTTCAGGCCCTAGTCCCAACATGGGGGACAATCTAGATCCTCTTACACCAAAATTCTGCCACTGCCCACTCCTGACACCCTGATGTGCCTTCACCCTGCCAGCTAAGCTGGCTCTGTCCAGTGAGAACCTGCCAGCTGCCTCAAGCCTTATGAGGTAGGAGGTCAGGGTGTGATTTCCCAGGGGTCTCAGAGACAAGGCTGGAATTTCACTACAAATCAGGTGCTAGAGTTTTGACCTTGAATGTCTCCCAAGAGGCTTGGGCCCCAGCCTGTGGCACTATAGAGAAGCTGTGGGACCTTCAGAAAGAGGGGTCTGATGAGAGGAAGTTAAGCATTGAGGGTGTGACTGTGCAGGAGGTATTAAAACACACACATCCTCTCTGCTTCCCGGCTACCAAAGAGGAAGCATGGTAGCAGTACCTACCACAGGCTCCTTCTACATATGCTGCCTCCACACAGGCCCAAACAACTGACAGCATCAGCCCAAGCATTTCATTGTTTTTTCTTCCTTTTGTGTGTCTGTGTGTGGGTTATGTGATTGTACGTGTGTGTATGTACCAGTGTGTGCACAAGCATTTGAAGGTCAGAAGTTGATGTCTGGTGTCTCTCAGCCACTCTTGACCTTATTTATTTATTTTTTTTAATCAGAGCCTCTTGCTGAACCCGGAGCTCACCAACTCATCTAGATCACTTGGCCATTAAGCCCCAGAGACGCCCCTGTCTCTGCCGCTCCCGTTGCTGGGATGTGCTTTCCGGGGAGTCAGACTTGGGTCCTTATGTTTGCACGGCATATTTTACTGCCAAAGCCATCTTCCTCCCCTCTTCTTCTCCTTGAGTTGATCATCCCAGGCTTATCTCGGATTATCCAGCATCACAGCGATGGAAAGCTGGGATGCTAGGTAATGTAACTGATTTCTCACAGCTCACAAGGCTAGCAAACCCAAGATCAAGGTACTGCACTGGGACATAATGAATGGAGACGAAGGAAATTGGGCATGGTGGCACATACTCTTAATCCCAGCACTTGGAAGGCAGAACCAGGCAGATCTCTATGAGTCCAGGTGAGTTCCAAGCTATCCGGGGCTACATATTGAAGCCCTGTCCAAAAAAACAAACACAAACACAAAAAAACAAACAAACAAAAAAAAAAGAGGACTAAAGAATCAAGGTGACATGGTCCCCAGAAGGGTCAGACTCACAGAGACCGCAGAATGTGGGTGCTGGGGCTGACCATTAGTATTGGAGGGAGCAGCTTCGATAAGGAAAGACAGAAGTTCCGGGAAGAAGGTGCAGTTGCTATACAAAACTTTGCACAGAGTGCAACAGAGTTGTACATTTCTGAGCAAATGAATAAAATACTATACGATGCATATATTTTTAAATCTATTTATTTTATGCACATGAGTGTTTTGCCTGCCCCTGTTATAAAGATTTTACAATTAAACAATACCTAAAAGTGCTGGAGAGATGGCTCAGCGGTTAAGAGCACATGCTGTTCTTGCAGAGGGCTGGAGTTCAGTTCCCAGCACCCATGTTTGGCAGCTCGTAACTGTTTGTAACTCCAGCTTCAGGGGGCTTGGACACCTCTGGCCTATTCAGGCACCTGCGCTCATGTACACAC